ACCATTTCTGAAATTTAAACGCACTCCAAATTATTACAAATTCGAATGAACTTTCTTGAGTACATTTGAATTTGACAAAGCCATATTGAAATCACGCGACGGACTCTCCTCCAAACAATAGTATCAATTAAAAATCTACTAATAATTACGCCATAATTTAATTTATTAATAACTCTGCCTATGTTTGTTTTAATTATTGTTTTATTTCAGGCACCTAGCCACTGATATGCAGCTTTTCATTCTGGGATCAATTGTGTATATAGCTACTAAATCAAAAGGAAGATCTTTGGTTATAACTCTTCTACTAATGTTTAGTATGGCAGCACCGGCACTGCATGTTTGGTTTCAGGATCTTGATGCTCTCGTTATATGTAAACCTGAGTACGTTGTATAATAACTACTTAAAAATAAACGAAATTCTTCCAAAGCGACGTATTTACCGATTTAAGGGAATTTCGTTAGTGTATTCGCTTCTTTATACTCATTATTTCTTTCTATATACTAATTATTTCTTTCTATATTGTGTCAGGCAAAAATAGTTTAAGAAAAGAATAGTATAGTCTTTTTCAATATTTATATTTTTGTTATTATTTTATTTAGATTATTTAGCCTTATAACCTTTTTTATTTTTAGAAAAAAGGCGTGATCGTCAGAGCCTTTTCTTATCAGGTGGTTTACAATTCGACTACATGTTATCCGTCATATCTTCTATTTACGCGAACATTACACATTTAAATAATACTAGTTTTACGGATTTTATCGCGTATATTAACTTATTTTATATTCCCGGCGTTTCGAGTACTTTACAGCACCCATGGTACGGAAGAGACTGAAGTGATTGACGTCCCAATGTCATAGTTAACCACAGCTACCTCTAAATTAAAAATTATTAATTTTTGTTCCGATCTACGCAGTATGAACTTACAATATCTTGAAGTCTTGCAGTTGTATGCTTGGGTTGGGAATTAATTTAATTAATTATAGAACCCCAAGCAGATGGTAGCACCCAGCCATCTTCTCTATTGAAACTAGGATGTTTTTGATCTCCTCGAATAGCCTCGCGAATGATTCTTGGAAATAATTGGTGTTCTTTAGCGAGGATTTGTGGTCTATCAAATCTAATGTAGTGGCGGGGGCGATCCTGTACATGTTAACAGACTGCAGACTTCCCGGAGTGTCCATTCTTCACATCAGCTAGGTGTTCTTTAACGCGGGTTTTTATTGATATTTTAGTTTGTTCCATATAAGAGACACCACATTCACAATCAAGCTTGTACACTCCTGCATCTTGCAAAGGGACAGTACACTTGACTGTTAATAAAAACTGACTAATCTTCTTCGGCGGCTTGATGTTCAAGATATAGCCAATCTTGTCAAGCTCCACACCATAATCTTATTCCTACGTGTGTCAAAATATCCACTAAAGAAGACATTCGAGAAAGCGATAAGATCTTAGATCAGGCATGTAAAGTCGTTACGAACGGTAATCCAACAAAAACGTTCCGATCTACATGACATAAATAAATCCATAGACACATCATTCAGTGAGTTAAAGGCAGTTTTATGACATTTGATTATTATATTTGCACCGAAACGTTAAATAAACGAGAAATTAATATATATAACGAATGCAAAAACAAACATACACACAACAATACACATAACAAACATACAGTAAAATAGCAAAAATTAACGACCAAATTAAATGTAAAACATCTGTGTCAACGTCAGAATGAAACGCAACCGTTGACCACAAACACGGATCATATATTAAAGATGGTCTATAATCTGTCAAAACAAACTTGATACTAATGCAACAATTAGAGTGTTATCGAAATGCCTTAATTTCGCCATAACACCGCAAAAATTACCGTACGAAGAAATTATCTGCAGTGTCGAGGTCTATTTATTTAAAAACAATACGCGAAAGGAAGATTTGGAAGCGATACGTCAAGACATTTCGTCTATGTTACGTGGAAGATCAGCGCCAAAACCGAATCTACCCAAAGACGAATTTAAAGCGTTGAATAACCTACGGAATAAACCAGAACTCACGATTCTCCGCGCAAATAAGAGAAATGTCACGGTAGTCATGAACACGTCAGATTATAATTCTAAAATACAAGAACTTTTGTCGGATGCAAGTACTTATAAAAAGGTTAAAAACAAACTAACAAATAACACACTGAAAACAACTAATGACCTCATAAAGAAACACCCCAAAAATTAAATCTGGACGTAAAATCGATAATACCTACGTGCGGCAAACTACCGAAGTTACCAAAAATACACATGCCCAATGCTCCAATACGTCCCATAGTGAGCCAAATCGATTCACCAACTTACAGATTGGCTCATCACTTAGTGAAAATACTTTCACCGCTAGGGGACATACAAAAGCACACACAAAGGATTCCTACCATTTTGTCAGCGAGATTAAAGACCTACATCTGACAAACAATGTAACTATGGTCAATACTGATGTGCTGCCTCTGTTCACATGCTTACCTGTTGAAGACTACATTTCGATTGTAACTAGAAGGCTGAAGGAAAACAACATGCCCGTAGAATATGCAGTATTACTCAGACACTGCCTTAGATTTGGCTACCTATTGTGGAAGGAAGAGTTCTACAAACAAGTAAATGGTGTGGCGATAGGCTCATCTGTATCTCCCACTGTCGCCGATATATTCATGGAAGACTTTGAGGAGAAAGCCCTGCTTATTTCTCCCTTAAATCCAAGATTCTACAAGCGCTACGTAGACAACACTTTCACAATTCTACCTTTAGATAAAGTAATTGCATTTTTAGACCATCTTAACTCCATAAATTCTAAAATTCAGTTAACAATAGAGTTAGAGGTACACAATTCTTTAGCTTATCTAGGTGTGTTAGTAATTCGGAATTCTGATAACACCTTGAAGCACACTGTGTATAGAAAAAAGACGCATATAGATATCTAAACGGTGATTCTCATCACCATCCTTCAGAGTTAGCTACCGTGGGTAAATCTTTGTTTCGGAGAGCACGTGGGATGTGTGACAGTAAACACCTGGCCTCCGAGTTCCAACACGTCAAGCAAGTATTGCACGACAATAAGCTACGGGTCCCGCGTCTACGTCACAGTAAAATAGTGAAGCCGTTCACAGTCAAGCGAGTGCCTGCTATGGTGTTATATGTCAGAGGTGTCACTGACAAGATTGGCTGCATCTCGACACGTACTTCCATTAAATCATACTTTAAACTTTCGAAGAAGATTAGTCAGTTTTTACCAGCAGTCAAGTGTACTGTCCCTTTGCAAGATGCAGGAGTGTACAAGCTTGATTGTGAATGTGGTGTCTCTTATATAGGACAAAATAAAAGATCAATAAAAACCCGCATTAAAGAACACATGGCTGATGTGAAGAATGGACGTTCCGGAAAGTCTGCAGTCTGTGAACACATACAGGATCGCCCCCGTCACTACATTAGATTTGATAGACCACAAATCCTCGCTAGAGAACACCGATTCTTTCCAAGGATCATTTACGAGGCTATTCAAGGAAATCAAAAAACATTCTAATTTCAATAGAAAAGATGGCTGGTGCTAACATCTGCTTGGGATCCCATAATTAATAAAATTAAATCACAACCCAAGCGAACAACTGCAAGACTTCAAAATACTGTAAGTTCATACTGCGTAGATCGGAACAAAAATTAATAATTTTTAATTTGGAGGTAGCCGTGCTTAACTATAACATTGGAACGTCAAACACCTCAGTCCCCTCTCCCCCCGTGACCATGGGTGCTGTAAAGTACTCGAAACGTCGGGAATATAAAATAAATTAATATACGCGATAAAATCCGTAAAACCAGTTTTAGGTAAACGTCTTATCTTCGTCAAGTTTGAACCAACTTTGATGGTTCTTTTTTATTAAATATATTATAATTTAGAAGTAGTCTTATATAAATTTGATTGGAAAGAATATCTCCCCCCCCCCTCCTAAGGTAGGCAAAATGCGGATCAAGCTTTTTTAATGTTAGTGTTGAGACGACGTTGAAATTGTGATATTTCTTAATTCGCTCAAAAGGGTAAAAATAATTTTCAAAAAAAAGTAAAAGTCAACTTCAAAGAACTAAAAAAAATTTCACATTCTGAAGTTAAGATTTAATTCTTTTCTGTAAAATATGTTGGAGACATTCGAATAAAATAAAATTTAAAGCCGGCTTTTACATTTTCTTATAAGCTATATTTTTGCTGTGTATATTATTTTTTCTATTATTAGTGATATCTTACAGGGTTGCAATATCCTTGCATTTTTCTTTATTATTTTTTTTTGCCTTTTCCCACCCTATAACCTTATCAAACAAATCATTTTCAATACTTTCTTTCTCAATCTCCCATTTATTTCCTTTCCCATATCTTGCATAAACATTGCATATGCTTGATACTTACACTTACACCTTATTGAGAATAAGCCAGCTTACTAAGTGATTCTGGCCAAAACTGATTACGAAGTCGGTCTACGTCCAGAGTACTTTTATAGCCCGCAGTGTTTCATATTTGTATTTAAAAAAAAGTTAATATATCGTTTTATAATAATTTTAATTCGTTTCGTACAATAATTTTCACAGATTTTATCGAAGCTTCTGGAACGAAACATATCGGTACCTTCACGTCTTGGGCCACAATAATCTTTCATGCTTTATCATTGGAATGGTCTCTGGCTACTTTGCGTATAGCTGGCAGAAGAATCGAGTTGAAGTGTTTAAGCATAAGGTGTTTCATTTTCATTCTTGTCGCATTATTTTACATTTGTAGGCTCAAAACTATTTTTGAACCTACCTAGTAACAAACTTTAATGTGTTATATAGTTGTTTCTATCAATAATTTGCTTTATATTTATGTTTCATGTCAGATATGGCAATATCTCGCTTGGTGTGTGGTACCTGGCGTAGTGGGGCTCATTTTGACAGGAAGTGTATTCTATACAGAGACACGGCTTTCGCTCGTGATTAGAATGACATATGCAGCGACTCATCGGGCGATTTTAGGAGTTATCACAGCCTTTGTTATTCTTGGTTTAGTGTTTAAAATTGAAAGTAAGTGCTTTTTGGACAAAAGATTTTTTTTTATATACAGGGTTATTTTGTAATTACTGGACCAATTTGCAGAAAATATTCAGAATAAGTAATATAGGCAAATGGTAAAGAAAACAATAATAAAAAAAATTCAAACATTCTTTTATATCGTTTAAATTCAAAATGCGTGGTAATGCTTTATTTTCACTGATTTTACTGCGCACGCACACATTCATAAGGGTCGATCGGTAGGCAAAAACGTTGTTGCCCATAAATTTCATTAAATTTGGGATAATATCAAATAAAAGTAGAAACCTTATATACTTATATTTAAAAACTGAAATAACAGTATATCATGCTACTTCCTACTAATATTATAAACGTGAAAGTTTGTGAGGATGTATGGACGTTTGTTACTCTTTCACGCAAAAGCTGCTAAATGGATTTTAATGTAACTTTACAATAATATAGCTTATACATCAGAATAACGCATAACCTGTAATTCATATAGATATTGTGTAAATTTGACAAAATATAACGATAAATGTTAAGTAAATTGGAAAAAAACTGTCATTTACGATCTATTTTGGCGTGCGGTGTAAACTAAAGGTAAAGGTGAAAACTATATCACGACATCTGTTTTTTTACGCATCACTCAAAAACCTATGAACCGATTTACATGGGACTTTCACTTACAGATAGCTGAGTATAATTTCACGCGGGCGAAGTCGCGGGGAACAGCTAGTTATTTTTATATTTGAACTTATAAATTTAAAACTTTCCTGTATGTACTTGTTAATTTAAAAATAACCCTGTATATGTTTGTTAATTGCATAATTATCACAATAAGACATAGTAAGTATATCACATAAGAAATAGTAAATTCAAGTTACACATAATTTGAATTTACTATTTCTTATGTGGTAAATAAATATCTTTAACCTGAAAGTTTTCAATAGTTTCATAATATAATATTTTGGGAAATATCACTGTGTGGAGCATCGCAGGAAAATAAACGATTATCGGACAGGCCAGAAAGTCCTCAAGGCCTCAATTAAATAGCGATATACCCTCTTGTATATGCCAGTTATCTATTTGGTACCACGATTTACAACGCGTCTATCACGCGAGGCGGTTACGACCAATCCTTCCTAAAATTCAGGTGCAAGTTTGGCCTCACAAGGAACACGGTTCTCACCTTTGGGTGGGACATCCCAGGGCCAGCTCTGCTTCACCGCATTCAGCAAATAGTTGCCCGAATAATTGACGACCAAGTTCTTTCTGATAGGTATTTTGGAAAGACTTCCCATTCCTTGGGATTTTCTATCGCTGCCACTCATCATAAAAATATTGGCGATACCATGTATTCCATCTAATTGCTTAACAGTCTACCACTGTGTGATTTATCAGAAATTTTCTTTCTCGCACGGCTACTTTGTGGAATCAGATACATAGGAGTCCTTCAGCAAAAGAGATTTCTTTTTTTTTAAGTCTGTAACGCACCTGTAATTTCTCTGGTCTTGCGTTGATTATGGGTGTCCGTAGTCACTATCAGGTGAGCCGCATGCTCGTTAGCTCCCTCTTATAAAAATGTCTATAAAAGTTAAAAAGTTAAATTTACAGCACATATACATACCACTGCTGGGCACAGGCCTCCTCTTATTTTTGTGAGGGTTTTAGGCTAAAGAACTGTCCGCCGCGCTGCCCTAATGCGTGTTAGCGAACTTCACATGCCTTCGAAATATATTTTTTTATTATTTGTCAGACTTGCAGGTTTCCTTATGATGTTTTCCTACACCGGCGTACGCCGTACATAAATCAGCACTTAAAATTGCAATTAACAATTTCATTGGTGCTGGCGGGGTTCAAACCGGGGTTTCTCGCGTACTGTGAAATTTACAGCGAACACTTAGCTACTACGGCCTATAGAGTAATATAAATATACGATACAATACAAAACTACGAATAAGAATTAAGAAAAATAATATGTACATATATATATAATAAAAATTACAAAAACAATTAAAAATTACTCTTTTATATTAATCACATAATAAACGTGTTTATTTATTTCCCTCATTCGATATCTTTGCACTAATGTCGCTGCTTCTTATGTAAGAAGCTCTAATGTTACTGCTTCTTGTAAAAGCAGCACTGATGTTGCATGAATGGATTTAAAATATTGCTTATGTTCTTGCAAATTGATTTAGTTATTTTATTTTTTAACTATTTATTATTATTTTATGAAAATCGTAGTAAATGCAGAGTATGTCAATAACAGAATAGGCATAACGCTTATTTTAAGCAATAAATTTCATTTAAAAATAAGTGAGAAAATATCAAATTAATATATCTTAGCATTATTACATTTGTTATTAGTAATATAAAAAAGTGAAAGAAAAAGAAAAAGTTTCTCAGTCTTCTTGTCTGTTATTTCTGTCTTTTTATTTCAGTTCTTTCCGTTAATCGCCCATTCGTTACGTAGTAGTAAGGTTGTCACTTGAAAAGATTTTAATGCATTCCCGTACTTACCTTTTTTTAAATTAACTACACTTGTTGTATTACAGACATAAACTTTAACTGAGTATTCTTCTTCTTATTCTTCTGGTGCCTTTCCGACTAGCGAAGGTTGGCAGTCAGCTTAGTGAACTCCGCTCTATTCTTCGCGAGGCGAAACAGTTCGACGGCACTCGCGATTCCTGTCCACTCTCGGATGTTACATAGCCATGACTTTTTTCTACGACCGACGCCTCTTTTTCTGGCAACTTTTGCCAGTTGTAGTTCCAGTTTTAGGAGTCCCTACCTCTCGTGCCTGAGCACGTGACCTAAATATGCGACTTTTCTCATTTTTAACAGAACTAATTAATTACTAGGAGAATAGTATTTCGGCTAGTATTAATGTATGTACGTTCATTTCTATACCTGCCTTATTCTGCCTATTTCTATATATAATTATTCTGGCACAGCATGAACTACGCATATGTTACTAGAAACCACTATTACTTTCTAACGAGGGAATAATGTTATCTCCAAACTAAAAAAATTAAACACATGCGTGCTTATGAGTGTATACTACTAGTGGTAGTAGCTTGAAACTTTTTTAGTAAATTACTCTAAGGAATTACAAGTCTACTAGTATATGACAGCATAAAATAAATATGGCGGACATAGTTTATCAAAATTTACGACCTAAAAAGTCAAGCAAAAATTATCGCCTAAAAAGATAACATTTCACAATATACAATTTGTTTATGAAACATACATTAATTTGTGTATTTTAATAATAAATTTACGAATATAATGTTAGATGTGCAGCGTCATCTACTTGAATGGGACGGCTGGGTGGTGCTGAGCAAGTTAACCTACTGCGCCTTTCTGTTGCACCTGAATATGGTGCACATTCTACTCGGAGCCAGAACACAATTGGGTCACGTTTCTTTCTTTTACGTGGTAAGATTTAATGCGCTTTCTAAATTGTAATCCATCATACCAAATATAGTAGAGCTACGCTGCAATAGATTAAGGGAGCAAGAATAGCTCGGCTCGACTAGGAAAGGACTACGCTGACATGTAATAAGAGTGTAAAATAGCAGCATAATTCAGTATTTGTATGCTGTGTGAAGATATGTAATCTTTAAGTGCTAGGACTCCTTTTCAATCTAGGAGCAGGCCTGTCTCACTCGGTGTTTTAGGCATGAAAATATACTAAGGATATTAAATGTGGAAGTGGTTATATCGGAACCGAATTGGGAAGCGGAGTTTTTAAATTTTGTTTGTCGGAACCGGAACTGAAATCGGAACCGGAATCGGAGGTGGAGGCAGAAGAGATGTGTTAAGGGCAAGTCAATTTTACTGTAGTTTTCTTTTGAGTTTAAAATTTTTTGAATTCTTCAAGTTTAGTGGCATGCACAGACTAAATGATTTTTTTAACGAAAAAGTCGTACCTCTCTTTCGTGAATATATCTTCTCACATAGCTTACACTTTGCCGTATTCTCAGAAACTTCATTGAAATAACTCCAAATGGCACTTGATTTTGGCTTCATTGTCGAATTAATATGAATAAATTTGTTAAACGTTAAATAAAACACTACTAAAACTAATTAAAAACTCGGATAGGTATAAATGAAGCACGAATGCACAACATGCCAAATAAGAAACAAAACATCAAGTTAAAAAGTAATCAACAGAAGGCACGGGGGATGGAGGTTCCCGGGGCGACAAGTATAAAATTGTTTGTACACGCTGATCGCGGCCGCCGCCACCATTGTGCTTCGACCTCCGATATATAACTTCCGATTAAAATTTATCGGAACCGAAATCGGAATCGGAGGTGCAAAATCAATCGGAAGTTCCGAACTTTCGGAATCGGAATCGAACCTCCGTAACATCTCTAAAATATACCTACGCTGCGCGGCCCCCTACAAGGGATTAATTCCGTGAGGTTGTCACGCGCGCGTTCGAGCTGACGCGCGCCTTACGTTGACAAAACAGTGTTTTTCTCTTATAAGTGTTTAGGCACTTGATGTTTATTTTTGAGTTTTTATTCAAGTATGGCCTCTCAAAAAGCCAAAAGGTACTGCATAGCATACGGTTGATTAAATAACACTAGGAATGTCGACTTTTCATTTTTTACTATCCCTATGGATACCGAAAGGTAAGATATTGTTATTTTTAATAATTAGGTAAATGATAGTTACTATGTACCTAGTTACTGACGCCATAGTTACAGTTTTGTTATTTGATCAGCGACCCAACCACATCTTCGCAGTTTTAGATTTTTTCGCGTATAATGCCAATGACCTTAAAAAAAACATTCAGTGTAAGTAGCACCAGTGACTGCCTACTAATGCAAGATCAGCCTATACTGGTTATTAGTTTTACACTTAGTCGATAAAAGAAAGAGATTGAAAATAACAGCACTTCTCATTGCCACTCTTTCATTAATAATGCTGTGTCACATGTTTTTAAATAGCAAAAATTGTGAAACAGTCAAGTGACGGCGCCATGAAGCAATGGCTTTTCAATGAGTTGCAGCGCTAAGGGCCGCGGTTTCGAACAAATATTTGTATGGCCTACAAATAATTGTTCTGGGTCTGAATGTTCGTCCTTGTGAAATCTATGTATGTAAACTACCCCCGAGACACAGAAGAAAATCCCAGTATGGAGGTAACATTTTTTGAAAAGAGAGGAAGAGAGACAGGTAATGAAATTAAACATTTTGTACAACCGACTTCAATATTAATACGAATTATAATACGCATTATTAAGGATAACTCCAAAACTACTGGTCAGATCTTGATCAAATTTATATGGGATATATAAATTACAAGCACCAGCTTGCAAATAAAAACAGAATCATCAAAATCGGTTCAAATAGGAAAAAATTCTAAGGTAACACACATTAAAAATACAGTCGAATTGAGTACCTCTTCCTTTTTATGAAGTTAATAATGATAAGTAGGTAAATTTTCAGAGTTTCAAAAACGTTCACGTTCTTAAAATCTCAATTTTTCTCGATGTTGCATATTAACCTTCCTCAAATTGAATTGAATTCCTCTCCCTCGGTGTATTATACTACCAACTAATATCAAAGGATTCAATTTGTTTTCTCACAACACCCAACCCTACAGTAGGTGCACCCTTAACAAAGGCGAGTAACGGGCTAAGTGATACAAACCCTCCCATACGGACGTAAAGTGCATTTCGATCTAATACGCGCGCCGCATTATTTTTTTCGACGATTTAATCGGTAGTCTAATTTGAAGAAGGTGATATCCGATACGTTCAAAGTATTATGAACATTAGCGACGTTGAAACTAAGTTTAAACTCCCAAGTTTCCTATCAAAGAGTGATTCTGTTCTTGTACAATTATTTATTCTGTGCTAGGAGTCAGTCCGGGTGATACCACCTTCTTACCTCTTTCTACCGCCAAATAGCAGTGCTTGCACTGCTATGCTCTGATTTGAACGGTAAAGAGAACCAATATAGATAAGGCTGTGAGGCATACTACTTTCACCTAATTCTCGATTAAGAATCAATATGTGGATGCGTTGTCAGTCACCTCTGTGGTATAAAATAGAATGCCTCGTTATCGATGTTTTTAACATAAATTAAGTACTACATTTCTATGCACCACATGCATGCTGCATACCATCGGTTTCTACCGATTTGGATTTAGAAGGGGCTACTCGACAATTCACGCTGGTATTGAACTACTTAAAAATATCTTTGTGTATGGGAGAACACAGAAGATGCGTTGAGAATATTTTATGACCGTGACTGTGACTGTATTCACCATGAGACGTTAATTAAAAAGCTACAATATTGTGGTATTAAGAACACAGAGCTTGAAATTATCATTTCATATTTAAATAGAAAAACACAGAAAGTTATTATCAAAGGTACAAGCTCTTCTGAATCGCGTGTATTAATAGGTGTTCTTCAAAGCTCAGTTCTCGGCCCATTCTTGTTCTTAATCTATATTAATAACTTGCCTTATCTTGTACGTTATAACCTTGTTATAGTTTTATTTGCTAATTTATTAATTTTTAATCTTAAACGACAATCGTCTGACAAAGTGAATTATGCCATATAAAAATTTGTACATTGGTTTAACGTTAAAAATATTAATTTAAACGACAAGAAAACTAAATATATCAATACCAAATGTTAAAAATTAAAGACAAATGTGTTTTAAAGTCTCGTCGATTCCACTATTTTCTTTGTATTGCCTCGACGCAAAACTTCAGTGTAGCCCTCATATAATTAAACTTGCGAGGAGACTAAGCTCCAGGGCTTATACTCTAAGAAAGATTAGAAGTTTTTATAATGTTGAGACAGCTAGATTATTTTATTTCAGTTATTTCAACAGCTTTATATCTTGTGAAATGTGTTATGGAGAAATGCGACTTACTTAGAAACTTTTTTTGTTTTGCAGAAGAGAACCTAATACCGAAAGGGTTGCTCAGAGAAAATTTAAAAGAAATAAATATACTAACTACGGCCTCTCAGTATATTTGTGAAAATTCAATGTATATCCACAAAACAAAAGTAGTTTTAATATAGAAAGTGATATACATTATGTAAATATTAAGAACAAACCCAAGCTAGTGATACCAGTTACTCCATTCCGCAGAGTCAGTAATTCATTCGTAGGGCAAGGTATATTCTTTTATAACTAAGAAAATATAGAAAGTCTCACTATAACCAAATATAAAATAAATAAGAATTACTTGTTATCTACGTAATACATATATTGAATAAAAAATATTATTTTATAGTCCATTATATTCTAGTTAAGCTATCAGTTCATATAGGATGTCAGTTTTGCACTGAAGTAACCAAACGTGGGGGTTTGGAAATTTCTTACAAGAAATTTGTCATATAGCGCATTCTTGGGGAAGAACTTAGGTGTTCTGCCTAGAAGTCCGTCTGGGTCGGCACCTAGCAGCAAGCCGCCTAGCAACAGTGTCCGGTTTGAACACTGTCCGGTCTTGAAGGGTGTATAGAGGCCGTATAATTTCTTGTTGTGACGCATCCCCTCTTGCTGCTAAGAGATGATAAGACATCTGTTTAACTTTTTTTCAAGTTGGTTGCCAAACAATCACTCAGTTCACCTTATGATAATCTGCGTGTTCATTTGTCACTTCAATTCAAAAAATCATCGAAATCGAAAATTGATAAGGATGAAAGAATATTATTAAAAATAATAATTTTACCACTCACACGTACTTAATATGTCGTTTTTTTTGCAGGTTATAAACCATCTGGGCATTGTAACTTTATCGTACTTGGCAGCAATACCGCTATATTTAATGGTTGAAGTTCCCTTTAACAGATTGATAAAGACATTGATTCAAGATACTATGGAGATGAACAAAAAGAAACTGTGATAAAAATAGTTCTAAAATATAATAAGTTAATCATATTATATTATGTTCATTTAATAGACAAAAATCAAGGCAGACGAAAAATGGTGATCTCCAAAAATGTAACTAAATATACAAATTAAATACTTTTCAAGTTTTTACTTTCTTAAGACCAACAGAAATGTTCACAAACGTTTCACTTGTTCAATTTACCATCGTTTGCAAGTTGGACTAGAACATGGTAGCAGAGTCTTCCTAATAACAAAAATAAAAAACTGCGGTTGCCAATACGTTTGCCAAATGTGGCAATTATGGCAAAGATTTTTCCAATGAGGTAATCTATATAGGAAACCTATGTTCAGCAGTGGACTTTTAATAGGCTGTAACGGTAACCTGAAATAAAAAAAAATCTTATAAAAAAGAACAAGTTTCAAGACAGAACTTGGAGTAGCTGTAAACTAAACTAAAATTGAAGTTACAGATAATTTCTTCCATTCATTGAAGGTATAGATCATAGCGGTGAACTATTATCATAGCAGCATTCACAATAAATCTTGCATGCTCACTGTGAGTGATACTGGTCTTTTTAAACTTACATAGCTGCCTAAAGAAGTATATCCCCGTGATCATTCCCTGTTTATATTGTCCCTACAAACCGGACGCACTAGGTAGGGTAAAACGGAGGTTAGTCTATAGAAGACTACTATATAGACTATAGAAGACTAAACGATTGAATAGCAGAAGACAAGTACCCACTTCCCAACATAGATGACATCTTAGACAGACTTGGACGCAGCCAATGTTTTATGACCTTAGATCTGGCGAACGGCTACCATCAGGTAGAGATGCACCCTAATGACAAAGATAAAACTGTATTCACAACAGGGAGGGGCTTTACTAATTCGTTATATTCCCATTCGGTCTAAAAAATGCACCCAGTACTTTTCAACCGCTCATGGACCACATCCTTAGAAGTATTAACAACGTTTGCACTTATGTCGATGACGTCATAATAATTTCAACGTCATTGCAGTAGCATATAGAAAAGCTGAAACAAGTTTTTGAAAGATTACAATACACATAATCTGAAAATTTAGTTAGGCACGTCAGAGTTCCTTCAAAAACACGTCACATTTTTAGGCCATGAACTAATTGATCAAGGACTAAAGCCTAATCAGAACAAAAGCAGTTAAAGCAGTTTTCCTTCCCACTACCAAAACTTCCCACTACCAAAAACACACAAGGATATTAAAAACTTTTTAGAACTAGTAGGCTACTACAGAAACTTCATAAAAGACTTTGCCAAGCTTACGAAACCGATGATCTTATGTCTTAAGAAAAATAGTAAAGTTATACACTCCCCGGAATTTTAAGAATCCTTTAATAATTGCAAACATATTTTAACCAAGCTCCCATACTGCAGTACCCAAACTTTGACGAACAATTCATACTGACAAAAGACGCATCGTAGCTCTTGGTGCAGTACTGTCTCAAGGAAAGATAGGCTTAGGTAAACCGGTAGCATACGCATCGAGGACACTTTCGGATACAGAAGCAAAACACTCGACAGTAGAAAAGGAGCTTTTAGCCATCGTTTGGGCAGTGAAATACTTTCGGCCTTATCTCTATGGACTAAAGTTTGTTATATATTTCGACCGTAGACCCCTGACATGGCTTATGTCACTAAAAGATCCTAATTCTAAATTGACTAGGTGGTGACTTAAACTCGCTGAATATGATTACACAGTCGTTTATAAAAAAGGACGATAAAGTACCAATGCAGATGCTTTAAAGTTAGAGTTAAAATTTATCATGAGAGCATCTTAAATTTTCAAACTTCATGATCCAATCTTATCAGATGCGATCGACAGATAACTAAAACAATTACATATCAAGTCGACTCCAGGATCAACATGCACAGTAGAAAATAGGTCTACTAATTCTAGAACAGTAATTAAAGATGTATTTATTCCAGCCATTACAGAGAAGGAAATCATTAAATTCTTAAAATAATACACTATTTCTAATCGCATATTCTACTGCTACATTTATAACGAAGAACTATAACTAGCATTCTCCAGAGTTTTATGACGGTATTTAATGACAGAGGCCCTAAACATTTTAGATGTATTTCACGCGTTACCCTTGTCGAAAACAAAACAGAACAACAACAAATAATTAAGAAATATCATGAAAGCAAAACTGTGCATCGTGGTATCCAGGAGACATACAAACAAACCATAGAAACTAACATTGGCCTCACATGCTACTCACAATCCAGGCATTCATTAATCAATGAAGTATCTGTTTACAAGCTAAATATGAAAGAAACTCTCTTAGACTCTTATTAGCCATAACGGAAACGCCTACAAAACCTATACAACATATATTTATGAATATGCATTGGACAGGCAGTGCCACCTTCCTTACTATAATAGACAATTTCTCAAAGTTCGTCCAAGCAATACCGTTAAACGCCACTAGTAGTGTACATATAGATGAAGCTTTATTTCAAGTGTACTCAGTTTTAGGAGTTCCTCACAAAATTATAACGGTTTTAGACAGTAAATTCGACAATGAAGTTATAAAGGAAATGCGCGCTTTACATGGTATCAACATTCACTTCACAACTCCATACAATCTAAATTCGAACTCACCCGTAGCACGTTTTCATTCGACTATAGGAAAGATTGTCATAATCCAACGAATGACAAACAAAAATGATCCCATACAATTAATTATGAAATTTTCAGTCATTCCTTACAACAACTCGATCCATTCGGCAACAGAATATACTCCACACGAGTTACTATTTGGGCATAAAGCTTCTAGAAATCCACTAGAGTTACATTACCCTAAGCAGTTTTACCTGGACTATGTTATCAAGCACAAGATGCATGCAGAAACCGTTCAGGAATGTGTGTCGGGGCACAAGTCATAAAACAAGGAACAGATGATAGCGAAGCGAAACCAGGCAGCAGAGGAAATAACGTTCAAGGTAGGTGAAATAGTTTGTAAGCACGTGGACAAAACTAAACCGGTATTTAAAGGACCGTATAAGATTATTCATTAACATCCTAATAATGTAGCAGAGATAGTAAGGAATCATCCTAATTCTATGTCTATTCGGATACATTTCAAGCTTCTTCGAAGACCCAAACTTATTCCAGGACAACCATCTTCGGATTTTAGAAGGCTATGTATGTATGTTCATCTGTTACCTCAAATATTTTTATTTTATTTATTTACTTATTCTTTATTGCATTTCTTAAAACAAAGAAATTCAAATGGTGAACAGAATACTTCGAGGCATCCGTTACCAGTCAACCGATGGAGTGGTGAGAACTTGACGTAGGTGTAGCACATAAAATTAAAAAAAAAACGAAATAAAAATGATAATTAACCACGTAATATAAATAGTTTACTAATGAATACACTATACAAAAAACCAATACATATACATACCTATATACAAATACATTGTAATGTAGGATAGGTGTTATGTGAATAGAAACGTGTTGCTCAGTCCAAGACTTTAATTATTCTACTCTTATTGTACTTTTTTTATAGGATAGGGTGACAAACGAGCACCTGATGATAAATGGTTACTGTGACTCATAGACATCTACATCTGTTACGGCTTGAATGTTTCACAATGTGTTTCGTAGGGTGGTTTTGGGAACCAGAGAACAACCAGACCAAGGGCTGGCTAACCCGATGATCCCAATCAGGAAGTAAATGAAAATAGCTTTAGAACTGGGTAGATAAGGCAAGGATACTCACAAGACTGGAGCACTCCTCGTGGTTATGGTGAAGTCTAAATATTTAGGCTGAAGTTCTCGTGTATACACAGACACCACACTGCACTTCGAATGTATATGGACACGAGCAATTGCACGATAGTCTTACAACTTATTTATGGAGTATTTTTAAACGAGCAGTAACGAACACGTTTTATGCGTGCGCGGCCATCTTGCTTCTTCTTTTTCCTTGACGATAGGTGGCGCACCATTTTGAGTAGTGCGTATATGGAGGATAGGAAATACTTAGGAAAAGGATATTATATCGGGACTGTTCCGAAGCCACAACATTCCCTCCCACCTGAAATCACCTAGGGATTTCACAAGACAACCATCGACCCGGCAGCTCTCCAGGTCCCCAGTTGCTCATAGAATATAAATTAATATAAACCAAATAGATATCTGAGCTAAATTGTGCTTTGATAACCTTAACTAAACTACAAAAGAAAATCAAACTTAGTTAATTTAATTATAAAATTAGAACTTAAATCTAGCTTAATAAAACAATAAAAATAAGATCCAATCAAGAGGAAGAGGGCAGACTTTGACTACTGGTCTTGTAAGTAAGCCTCTTTTAGTCTTTAAGGTCACAATATGTTGACATATTCCACGTCGAGACACGAATCTGTCTAGGGCGGCTAGAAACGCTTCTGTAGACAGTTCAGATACAAGTTCTAAATGAACTGCTTTTACAGATAAGCAAATGAACAAGCATATGTAAGCCTTACTGACCCGTGCGTTACGTCGTCTGTTTTCTTTTATAAGAAAAGGACCGCCAAAGTCGATCCCTACCTGTTGAAAACAGTAAACTTGTTGACATCTACAAGGTGGCAGGTTGCCCATAGATGGCTGATAGGGTACAGGTTTAACCCGAAAGCAAGTCACACACTTTGTTAAAATAGAACGAATAAGATTTCTAGTTCCTAAAATCCAGAACTTGCGAACTATTAGAGATTGTAACGTGCGAGGTCCACAGTGCAAATACCGTTTATGATAATAGCTAATAATTAATTGAGATAAAATAGATTGTTTCGGTAACAAATATGGATGTTTTGTGTGTTCAGGTATATTGAAATTAGTAAGTCGTCCACCCACTCGCATGAGTCCTAGGTTATCAATAAACGGAGACAACTTTTGTAAGTATTTAGGTAGAGGCTTCTGCGAATTTAATTGAGACATCTCTTGATTGAAGCTGCCCCATTGGACATATTTAATAAGGCTAAG